TAAATTTTATATATTTTTTTATTCATACAACTGAATAAATATATATTCAGTAAATATGGTACAGAAAAATACAATAGCATGAAAACACTCGTAGAGCATCTACCCATTAGTAGCACTCTAATAAAGTATCTAGCAGCCAGTAAGTAGCAACCTAATAAATCCTCAGACTCCCCAAATTCCTATCGTCCGATTAGCCTTCTTCCTTCCTTTTTTAATTATTTGAAAAAATTATTCTTCGTCGCCTTGATTCTCTCGATATATTTAAATTTATTCCAAATCATCAATTCGGCTTCAGAAAGCATCATTCAACTGTTCAACAATGTCATCGATTGGTGGATTATATTTCTAATTCTTTAAAATCTAAAAATTATTGCCCTGGAGTTTTTCTTGACATTAGTCAAGCCTTTGATAAAGTTTGGCATGAGGGATTGCTCTCCAAACTTAAAATTTTACTTCCTCCGACCAACTATCTAATATTACTTTCATATCTAACGGATAGACATTTTGTAGTAAAAGTAGGGACAGAACGTTTTGACATCAAACCTATTAAAGCAGGAGTGCCTCAGGGTAGTGTCCTTGGAACAATATTGTTTAATATACATATGTCTGACCTACCGGAACACAAAGACACAATACTGGCTACTTTTGCAGACGATACCGCAATCCTAAGCTCAGATAAAAACCCTGTTCGAGCATCTACCATCCTTCAAAATCATCTGAACGATATTGCAGATTGGGCAACAAGGTGGAAAATTAAGATGAATGAAAAAAAAAATTGTGCATGTAGTATTCACTCTTAACCATAAACCTTCCCCTGAAATATTTTTTAATAACATTCAAATCTCAACATCAGATGTAATTAGGTATTTAGGTTTTTACCTGGACAAAAGACTTACTTGGAGGACTCACATCAGACAAAAACGAATAGAATTAAACAGACGTTACGGTATCTTATCCAGATCACTTGACAGACGTTCAAAATTATCTTTAACTAACAAACTAACCCTTTATAAAGTCTTACTTAAACCTATTTGGACTTACGGCATAGAACTGTGGGGCTCTGCTAAAACTTCCTACATTAAAAAAGTTCAGTCCTTTCAGTCAAAAGTGTTGCGAAGGATAGTTGACGCGCCATTTTATGTCGCAAATGACACACTACATAAAGACTTAAACGTACCTGCAATTTCAGATACTGCAAAAGAGAACTACAATAACTTTCACCAAAGACTGACGTACAACATGAATCCTCTGACAGAAATCCTTCATCGTACAAGAAACCCGTACAGCCCACCACGACGATTACGTAGGCGTTGGCCAAGAGACCTGCTGATCTGATTTATATCCCGGACGTGATGGGAAGCTGTGAAGCTGCCAAAAAATTTGCTTATTGCAAAGAAATTTGCAGATTGCATATTTAATTTAATGTTCCACATTTTTGTTTGGTTAATAAATAGAAAAATAATAGATAAATTGTACTCTGAATTCTACCATTTTAAAAGTGTGAAATCCTATATGTTCAAATTAATATTATCAGTTAACTTTTTTTATTTTCAATAGATCGATTAAAAAAACCAAACAAAAATAAAATTATAAAAATCGGCGTCAAATGTATAGTTATAAGAGCATGTATAACATATAAGTTATATATGTAAATGTGGTTATTCAACTACGTGTTTCGATAGAACACATAAAAAATACTTGCGCCCTTTGTTGTGCAGTAAAAAAGAAAAAAAAAGTAGTACCAAGCCATATGTTGGTTGGTTGCTTTTTAAAGGTTACACTTTCGTAACCTTATTAAGGCTTCCTTCCATCAATATGAAATGAAAATTTGCTAATGATGTTTCCTAATAGCTAAACCAAAATTATTTCAGTCGAGACAAATGTAGACATCTCCCAAAAAACAAATATCGAATCTCATCACACTATTTTTTAATGTTTTTTTTTGTGCCTGGAAGAACAGCCAATGCTGTGACAACATATACGATTTTTTTTTCAAAATTGAAGACAGTCTTTACATCAAGTTCAAGGGTAAAAATATCATTATAACTCTTCCATGTATTATCCGTTATTTTTCATGAATTAATTTCTGTGCTATTTATTAAATAAAGAAAAGAAATTGTGCTATAACCAATTTACTGCTGGATAGACTAAAATATACAAGTGAGTTTTGTGATGAACATTAAGCCTTGGGAGGAAGAATCATTTGTCCCTTCTCGTAAGAGAAAAGTAAGGCCGAAAGCTGAAGAGGAGGAACGACCATGTAAGAAGAAGCCCACAGAATCACCAAAGGAAGAGAAATTATCTCTGGAACCGGAAGCTAAGACTGAAACAGACCTCAATGGAGAAGAGTCTGCAGCCCCTTCAGGTTCAATAAAAAGACATCTCCAGGCGTATGTATTCGCTCTGATATCATATATCGCCTTCAAGATGTTCTGAGGTTCTTCAAATATCTTGTTTGATTGTCTTTAAATAAATTATTTATTATTTTTTTAAAGATTGATTTTTCCCTTGCTTATTTCATTGCTTATTAAGACACCAAATCAATATCCAAGTTCATTACAATCATACATTAGGAAAAATACAAAACAGTGTCTAATAACTACTTCATAGGAGACAACATTAAGATTAAGACTAGATCTAACATTAAATTATAGAAATTGTTAATTGCAGAGGTACCCACAAGGGGGTTTCATGAAGCCTCAAAATTTTTGAGGAAGGCACATTTTGATGGTGTTTTGGATTTTTGAGGGGAGGGGTAGTAATCGAAATGAAAAGTTTTAAATCAACAGACAAGTGGAAGCATAAAATAAAAGTAAGATGTGTAATTGTATATAATCTACTAATTTTTAAATACTAATTTTGTCTGCACTGTTTTTAAGAAGAGGAGATCAATAAAATATCTTGAGGAGGGTGAGGGATCATGCACCATCGACCTTGGGGAGAGCAATGGGCATACCTGGTTAATTTGAAAAATATTTATTGTTATGTGTTAGATAAATATTATACCTGATTACAACACTATTAAAATACACACAAACATATATTCAGTTTGAGCCTCCACCTAGGGCCCCTGCCATTGGGCCTGTTACTATGCAGCAGCTCTTCTGGTCCGGGTGTTGAGTAACGCCTTTAGACCTTGAGTAAGATGGAATTAACAACTTAACGTTGTCAACCGTATAGTTTAGAAACACACTGCTGCAATTCTTCGCTACGAAGCCAAATAGCACCGACTGGTCTTGAAACCATCTTCATCTTGCAGTACTCCATGTACATATACAGGATGTCTCACTTCTTAATGACCAAACTCTGGATAAAGAAGAGTGGGATTCTAGACAAAAATTCCAACAAAACAGTTCATTCGTTGCATGGACCGATTCCGAACGGAAAAAGGAATTAAGACCAATTTTGTGTTTTTCTCGAGGGAGTCACATTTTTTATTGTATAAGAACGAATTGCTAAAAAAATTGTTCAAGATAATTAAACTCTAAGTACACCATCAAAAATTAAACACAATATTTTTGAGAAAACAGTGATTAAATTTACTGAGGTCTGTGATAAAAAGGACTTTAAGGAGGTCTAATAACGCAAAGCCTAACATTATATCGACTTATTCCACTAATCGGGATTACAGATATATGCTCCTCAGGTATCAGTACTGTAGCTACAGTAGTACAGCGGCCATATTAGACCTCCTGAAAGTTCCTTTTACCATTGATCTTAGTAAATTTAATTTAATTCTTGAAGTCCTATTAAATCTAATTACACGAACAATAATACTTTTAGAATAATTTTATTTTATTTTTTTCTTAAGATACGGTAATATTTTACCATTTAGGAGGAGGACTTCAACCCGAAAGTTCATCCCCTCCTTCCGTAGATCTGCCTGTGCGATAAATAAATGGGCTTGTGTCATTTTCATGCAGTTCCGATATTTACGTATCGCTAGATAAGGTCGAAATTCACAAAAACATACTTGACATTAGTGACTTTTTTGCAATTAACCTACGAAATGTTGAATTATAGAGAATTTAATTACATAATATCAGTTAATTCAATTTGTGTTTTCTTGATTTTGAGGATTATAGTAGAATGCTTCTAAATAAATTACGGAATGCTTCCATGTTTTCGAAACAGAAGTAAAATCGCATCATATTAATATTTGGTATTAATATATGGTATTATTTTACTTCTATCTGAGTTTATTTTTTCCCTTCTTTTTTTTTATAATAGTTTTTCTCCTATCCATTGACTGGCGTGATCGATTTGCCGATTTAAAAATCATATCTGTATGATTTGAACAAAATTTTATCGATTCGAATATTGTACTTATCTTTTCGAACCACGATTTTAGTACAATGGATTATAAATTTTTATGGGGCCCTGATTATTTGACAAACGTGTTCTTTAATAATGTCATTGAATATTGTTTTTTATTTTCTGCAGTGCTGGCCATAGATATTTGGTGCCCTCGGGCAATGACGTCGTCTCCTTCCCAAAAATTTGTATTTATTTCTTATTCTGTTGTATACTAAGTAATATTTTAATTTTATTTCATAAGGTATACCTCTAGTTCAGTTGTTTTATTTTAGTCAAATAAAAAATTGCTTTTTAATATTTTGTTTATCCCTAACTAGCGGCGCCCCTCCCCGAACTGCTTTTCTGTTAAAATATTTTATTTTCCAATAGAGAGTCCATCTCTTTTATCGATTTATATTTCTTTTAGTCAGATTTAAATATTATCTCAATATCACTATAAAACTACTAATCAATTTTCGAATAACAAATATAATAGTTTAAAACATATATATATTGACCTTATAGCATCCATATTATATAACCATACTGTTTAAATTCATTTTGATTTTTACAATGGACAATGCATGCTCATCACTTTAAAAAAAAATTTAATTTGCCACAAAATTTAATTAATTACTTAAATGTAATAACTTTGACGATTTAACAAATAATGGCTACTTAATTTGATGTGTCACTCCAAGGAAAAAAGATAAAAGTAGGTTTCTAGTCTGTTATAGAGGCGGCACTGGTTAGCTGTATCACGTTGTTATCCACTTTATTTTTTTACAGATAGGAAAAAAGAATTTTGATAGTGTGTAATATTTATCGAGAAAAATGGCTCAAAGCAAGTTGAATGATTTAGCCGGACGTTTTAGTCAAAACCCCAAAGGTGTCGGATTAGGTTTAAAACTATTAGCTTTTGCCGGTGCTACAGCTTATGGAGTAAGTCAATCTATGTATACTGGTAAGTGAGGTCTCATACAGAGATAAGAATATATGTTAACTAATTATATCTTCTTTAAGTTTACTGTTTAAATTTACTACGATTTTTAAGAATAAAACCATGAATTTTTTCCCTTATCAGGAATATTCTTTTTAAGATGATAAAATATAGTAATAAAATAACTATATATTCCTTTGGCTTAAAGATGTTATCAATGATAACATTCTTATTCTTTATATAAGTATTTTTGTATCGTAACTTAATTTTCAAATAGCTTTTATCTGTTTATCTTCATGATAGCTTTGAATTGAACATAGTTCAAAATTGCTCGTCCATTAGATTTTTTCTACCCTTCATTTTATAAAGAAACTTCTTACATATTGAAATCATAACTTTTATGATAAAAGTTGATTTATGCATTAATGGGAAATTAATCAAATAGTATAGTACAGTTTCATTTTTAGTATGATCGTTAATATCAAAATGATCTTATTACTGTACTTCAAAATGAAAATATTTTGTATATGGCAATGTTTCGACCTAATTTTACTTGAAGATTAAATTCATTTGTTCTTTACATTCTTAATGTTGGTATACATTCAGAATCAGATAAAGAAGAATTGACTTATCGTGTATTATGATGTCTTTTGATATTTGTTCACTTTTTTATAAATTTTATTTTGAGGAAGGTGGTATTGGTCAGTTGATAAAGCAATTATTTCTTAATCCCATGTCCAGTTACTTTTTAAAAGACTTAAAAATCATACAGAGGCTATGGGTTGTTGATATAGATTAGGTTATGAGTTTTCTTAGGCGATCAACAACTTCGCTGTTACGCCCTTGAGCTATGGTAGGTTTTTGATCTAGTCTTGAATCGTAAGAACTTGAAATTCGTTTCTTGATATGATGATATGGTTTTTTATTTAATTAATATTTTTAGGCTTAAAATACTACCAATTTGTTATAATAATGTGTTGACTTCTTGTTAATGGACAAAGTTACTTTTATTGTTTATTATTTTTTAAACCTTTGTGGGACATTAAAATTTGAAAAAATTAAATTTGTGATATCAGGATTGGCTTATTCTTGTTTTGAACATTGAAGAGCAACTTACATATATTATTTATAAATATTGTTAAAATGTATAAACATAATTTATTCACAGAGCATTTTACCTCATAAAACAATATGCACAAGGAACAATGGAATAAATGCTAATTTTGTCGGTTTATTACAAAACAGTCATTTAGTGACATTTCATAACCATAAGTGACTAAGAATTTTGATGAATTTTCTCTTTCAAAAATCATAAAATTGTGTGCTTGTTGTAATTATGTTTGATAAATAAAAGGGTCTGCATTATTTTATTGCTCTTACTGATTTTTGTTTATCAGTAAATAAAGACAAAATTCACAAAATGGTACTTAGCAATTCGGCTCCATCAAAAACGTACTTAGTGACTTTTTGTAATAAACCTACGATATGTTTACATGATAGATTCCACAATTGATTATTGTTTAGGATTTTTTTAATTGCTATGGAAACACGTGGTAAAGGTATTATTTTCATTTCCCAGGTGACAAAAAAAAAAAAAAAAAAGAAAACCAGATGAACTGCTGTCTCACTTGTTTTCATTATATATATATATATATATATATATATATATGTTCTTACATTTCTGGCTGTAGATAAAAGTGATCAACTGACATCTTTTGTTTTGGTACAACTGCTGTGGCCGTTACATATGTGACAATGAGATAACAACTCTGTAGTATGTAAAGTTCGCGTAAATTCAACTTAAAGGGCCCATACATTACAAATACTTTTTTTAAATTATAAAAATAAATAAAATACACCTTAGAATCAATAAACTGCATACAACAAAGTATTTAAAAAAAAAACACAGTTTCATAAAGCCGCCTGTTGGATATTATCAGATGACAATCCGGATATTAAATTTAATAATTATTATTTCGTAATATTGTTAATACTGAAATATAATTTTGGTTCTGGCACAAGTAGGTACCAAAAAACCTCATCTTTACGCAAACCCCAGTTGATCATTTTTATCTCCAGCCCGACAATATCATATAAAATATAAGTCTATATTATTTGCAGCATCACAATTAAACTTTAAATTTTATTAACTTGCTCTGTGTTCACTAAATAAATAAAAGTTTACAACAATACAAAATGATCTTTCAAAATTTGTTATACTTAACATATTTTCATTATCTTTGATATAATGTTTGTAAGAGATATAATATCTAAAAAGCTTTGTTTTTTTATTTAGTTGAAGGTGGTCACCGAGCAATCATATTTAGTAGGCTTAGTGGAGTTCAGAAAGAAGTCTACTCCGAGGGTCTTCACTTTAGGATACCTTGGTTTCAGTATCCAGTTGTTTACGATATCAGGTAGACTAGTTAGTTATGATACAGACTTAATCTTAAGATATTATATATTAATTTTGAATTTTTGTGAGTAAAATGGTTGACTGTCGTGAATAATGAAGAGAAGAATAGTTGGGGTGATCAGTCAATTAAGAAGGCAAAAATAAATGATAATATTTATTTTGACATTTGCCGACGTTTCGACCTGAAGTTCAGCTACACAGGCTCATATTAATTGTAGTGGTGCCATGGGATACATGTCTCGACTAGGTTCCCTTGAACAAGAGGAGGAGTTAATATCATTTCTCCTAATCTTCATTAATTTTCCATCAATACAATGATTGAGCCCTTCGTTTTGAAGATTTTCTTCTCCTTTAGGTGAGAAAAATAGTCACCACAAATTTCAGGCAAAAAAGTTATAGAGGAAAAGAAACTTTATTTGAGAATAACTCAAAAAGTACATTGGACCCATGATTATTTGAATGGTTACTAAATTCCTTACAAATCAAAATCGTGCCATTTTAAGCAAATATTAAATTATTTTCATTTGTAAACATATTGGTGTAAGACATGAATAAAGTTTTAAATTAAATTTCCTTTCCTTGGTTGATAATTATTGAGAAAATAAGAATTGATTCTCCCACCCCATTATACTTTGTGAATTATTCACATAGGCTAACTAGTTTTTGCTACAGATACATTAAAAATGTTTTTTTTTACTGGCCTAATTTTCAATAATACTTCCCTGAATTTCTTTGGTTGATGATATAATTTCTCATAATTGTTCTAACTATTAACATCATAAGCTTTAAAATATTCTAACAATTAGTTCAAAAGTACATAAGTTATCTAAAGATTCCACGAAAACTTGCCACCAGCTGCATACTATAGGTTTTGGTTAATCAGAGTAGACTAAGGTAGTTATGTGTGATTGTGTCAAAAATAAACTTAATTTATGTTACAGATCAAGACCAAGAAAAATTTCATCACCTACTGGATCCAAGGATTTGCAGATGGTTAATATTTCCCTCAGGGTACTGTCTAGACCAGACTCGATTAAGTTGCCTTTTGTGTACAGGCAACTTGGTTTAGATTATGATGAGAAAGTTCTACCATCAATTTGTAATGAAGTTCTCAAATCGGTTGTTGCTAAATTCAATGCTTCTCAACTGATTACTCAGAGACAGCAGGTATGAATAGATTTTTATCGTTATTTTAAAATATAATTTTTACGATGAGCTATTTATAAAAATGTACTAATTGGGTACTTGCATGAAAAAAAAATCATGTAAAGTTGAGCAGAATTCAACTGATAAGGAACCAAGACTGGGATTTTCAAATAATAAAAAAAGGTTCACATTTAGCTTAAAACTTTAAATAACATTACATCTGGAAGGTAAAATGTAGGGACTGGGCACTTGGCCTGAGTCCACTGTGGTGTGATGTAAACTACTGCCAAACACTATGCTATCAAACATCTCTTGGCCCTAAATATATTTTAAACTAAATGTTTCTATTCAGAGAAATATTACATGAGAAAAAACAGAACAATATTTCTTGGATGGAAGTTTTGAAACTGGAAACGCCATTCTAAGCTAATGAGGTTTAAGAAACTCAACAGTATGAGATAAGCGCTGGCAGGCCATAGTCTCCATTCTCATGACATTGCTGTATTCCTACCACTTTTTTACTTCTGCTTATCTATATATGCAATATATAAAAAGGGTAAGTATTGTGATCATGGAAATTTGAGTTTTCAACAGAAATTTGACGTACCCTGAGTCCAAATAACCAAGTCCAACAAAATGGTCTGTGTGTGTGTAGATGTATGTGAACAGCCTAGCTCAAAAGTAAGAAGTTAAATATTAATTTTTTTGGATTTCAGCGATATAAAAATTAAAATTTGTAAATATAAGTGTAATTATACAAATAAAAATACCCAAAATGAAATTTAAATAGATATAGCATCTATAATTTTTACTTTCACTTCCTCCTTGTCTGAAAATACTTATTTCTGCTAAGAATAGGGTGATAAGTGAAAGTCGTGTGTTGCGCACACCAGATTTTTTTCAGTGCTGTTTATCCTTGCCAATATACATCAGAAAAATTATTTTATTCATTTTTATTTTTATAATGGATAGTTCATGCAACTGCCCAATTGTTTTTTAAAAATAATCAGACCTTTGTTTAAATTGACTAATAATAATTTATTAAATTTTACTATTATGAACCAGTGTTAAATATTTATCATGTGATTCATTGATGATTTTCTAAATCATTAATTGTGTAATTTTGTGTTAATGGATTTAATATAAATTGATTAACCCAATTGAATTGTTGTTTCGCTCTCGTGCCCCTGTGAGAATTTTCCTCGCATGCTCTTTGCTTATTTTCTATTTCTTATTTTCTTATATATTTTTATTTATAGGGCGCTGTTCTCATTATACTTTCATGAGACTTGTCTCTGACAAGCATCTTATAAAACAGATTCCAGAGATTATGAATTAAGTCTGCCTGCTGTCTATGGAAACTTGGGGTCAGAGGCTAAAATATAAAGAAGAAATGATACTGAGGAGCAATATATGGAATTGTCCCGTCAAGAACTTTTGATGGCAAGAAGATAGAAAATTATTATAATGACCTAAAATTGATCTTTGAGGCATTCCTTTTGTACATTCCTTTGGTATTGAAGTTGACAAGTGGCAATGTAGAAGATAAGAAACTAAGTTAGATAGAACAACGTGCAGTTATTTGAAAGGCAACTAGAAGTCTGCAAAACTTATGACAAACAAAATATGTGTGCTTACTAAAACTGATGTAGAAAATTAATTCTCAGGTTTCATTGAAAATAGCACATTTTGTATTAATTTATTTAGCTATGATTAATGTCAATAAGATATGTAATGGTATAATAAGCAAATATGAATCAGTCTGAAGAAAATTCTCACAGGATAATATTTTTGTATTTATAAAATTCTTATTCTAATTATTTTATTCTGGTCTTCAGGTATCTCTTTTGGTTAGGAAGGAACTAATCGAACGTGCTAGAGACTTTAATATAATTTTAGATGACGTCTCAATTACTGAACTAAGTTTCGGCAAGGAATATACTGCAGCCGTTGAAGCTAAACAGGTCAGTACATGTATGAAATAGGTATAATTTATATATTTGTGTGTTGTGGCAGTACGTAACTAATCGTTAATCACACTTTGTTTCATCATAAAGAATCATACTTGAGTCAGAAGTGGCAACGGTTCGAATTTGATCTTGGAGTAAATTATGAATTTATAGTATTTACATAATGAAAACTAGAATAAGTTTATAACCTTTAGATGATCCGTCAGTCTACTCATGTTAAATTTCATTCAGGAAATTTTGTAACCAATAAACTTTCAAGAATTACATTGGACTACTGTTGAATAGATGTTCTATTGTGCACACTTTTGAATTACATATGAGCTCATTATAAGCACTTACATTTTGATGTGCTTAGATACACTTCATCTTTGGGAGTGGTAGTGATGTTCGAGCGGACTAACATGTGTGTAAAATAGGTGTTGCCTGGCAATATGATGATAAACTGAAGATTACGAGTTCAATATTCTTTGGTTCCATCAGTTAAAAAATTTAATCGCCATCAGAAAGGTCCCTTAGTGTACGTTCATAAGAATAGGTTATTAGTAAATAAGATAAAAAAAAATATTTCTCAAAGCAATGGAACTCAAGGAAAGAACTAATAAATAAATAGTGGTGCCCGGTACTCGCAGGAGTTAGATATTGCGAATCTCTGTCCTAACAGATAGTTAATTTTTATTTTAAATTCAGTTTAATTTTATATAACTTAATTATCCTATGATTATGTACTAAAATTTTTAACATGTACTAAGTGATACATTGGTACTGCACAATGGCCGACTGACTCTTCCTTCAAGTGCCCTGTTTGTCTAAGGGCATGTCAATTTACTTATTTTTAGGATACGGCAAGGATAAAAAATTAAAATGTTCGTTAAACTGAAGTTTCACTGTTTATAGTGGTTATGTAAAAGAGGGACAGGATGGCCGAGCGGACTAGCGTTTCCAGGCTATCTGATAACCGAATTTTATGATAGAAAAAGAATTACGAGTTCAAATCCTCCAAAGTTCCCGGTAGGACTTTAAACTCAGCTTGATTCCCCAGCCTGAGGAAAACTCTCTGTAGCCTAAAAGGCAAGGAAGGGGAGACCAAAAAAAAAAAATATGTGAAAATTATTCTAACATTCTGTAGATAAATTGGTAGTATAGGTAAGGAGCAAAACAAGATGTAAACTAATCCACGCATGAGCCAGCCTTTTAGATATTTGAAATTTTGATTAGGTAACCAGTACTGCAGTCTAGGTTTCGACTTGGAAATTTGATTTGAAATTGGGAAAAAGTAAAATATACTCTTTTTATAACTTATTTTTTAACCTAAATAGTTGGTTAGTAGTTGATAAACCATGTATATGTATATCTACTTGAAGAATATATCTGAAACTTACTAGTATTTTTGGACTCTATGGAGGTATTATCCAAGACTGCTTTTTCTATTTTGAACAGCATTTCATTTGATCCTTCTCAGATCTCTTAAGGCCAGTGTCCATGGAGTGATTACGCTCTGTTCTGGTGTGATTCATCCTACATTGTTTTAATAAATATTAATTAAAGTATTATTTATTTTATAATTTACTTAACTACTTAAATGTTCATATAGCTTATTAGGTTTTTTAATATCACTACTCACGTTATGACCTTAATTTTGATAATAAATGCAAACATAAAAATTTTAAATGAGGCTACGTGAAGAGACTTGTGCTATTATTACATTTAAGGTGGCACAGTTTTCAGTTGATTCCTCAGAGAACATTTTTAGGAATTAATCTATGGACCAATATGGACTTACTCTTCACAAATATACAATATAGCTAAAAAGACCCACAAATTTCAAACCTTCTAATAAAAATATTACGACTTAATAACTAAAGCACCTTGGTACTTGACAAACAAAACCTTACATACCGACTTCCTCCTGCTTACACATAAGAACTTTTTTATGAACGATTTCACAATAATTTACACGGACGTACTACCGTTAGATATGGCATCAGCTGACATGCCCAGCAATATGAGGAGGAGACTTTAAAGGTGCTGGGTGAGAGACCTTCCTTAACAAACCATTGTAATTGTTTTAAGTCAGAGAAGAGGTACTGCTGTGTGCTATCCTTCCCCATGCCTGACATGTCAGTTTCGTTACTTTAATCAGAGTATCTGCTGATTGTCAACAGTCGTCGACAGATGCAGATTGATATTAAAAGTTAAAAAAAAAAATTCTAAAATTAAACAATTTCATTATTAAGTATAGAAAATTTAAGATTTCATGTTATTAATAAAGTTTTGTTAATACAAAATCGGTTAATATTTAATGATTAAAGTGTCTGTTTGCTCTCTCTAGGTGGCACAACAAGAAGCACAAAGGGCAGTTTTCGTTGTGGAAAGAGCAAAACAAGAAAGGCAACAGAAAATTTTACAAGCTGAAGGTGAAGCTGAAGCAGCAAAAATGATATCCTTTACCTCCTGAAAATTGTTTAAAATTTTCATTAATTTTTTATTGTTATCATTAAATTTTATTGTTTAAATTCTTATAAACAAAACCTGTTGAAAGAATTTAAGGCTGTTGTCTCGTCAAGAAACATTTTGTTTTTAATCAAAATTATTTAATTCAATATTGATAACATTTTCAACAATTCAACACTTGTATAGAAGCGATCTGTACAGAGTGAAGATTGGGAACCGCCTCTCAGAACCATTTTCTGAAACCAAAGGGCTTAAGCATGGGTGCTGTATGTCTCCAAGCATTTTCAAGGTATACTTGGATGAGGTAGTTGGAACCGAAGGGCTGAAGCAGGGGTGCTGTATGTCTCCAAGCATTTTCAAGGTATACTTGGATGAGGTAGTGAAGCAATGGATGAGACGAAGTCTAGACTATGTAGTGTACTTTGACGACGACGAGCTCCTTACCCTGTTCTTCGCAGATGATCAAGTAGTGATGACCCGGAAGAAAGTTTTCCTGGAGATAGTGGTTGTCCAATTAAAGAAAGCTTATGAAGAGGCAGGTCTCAGGATTAACTTCCAAAAAGACTGAGTATATGGCACTGGGAGATGAGGAAGACAACCTACACATAGGTGAACAGGTATGTAGAAGAGTAAAGGCATTTAAATACCTCCGGCCCTATCTGGACGATGTTGGAACGTCCGAAGTGGATGTCCGAAACAAAGTAGAGATGGCAAGAAAAGCTACTAGAATGCTGCATCCTGTTCTCTGGAAAGACACTATTTCAAACACGAACAAGCGGCATATCTTCACGGCTATTGTCGAGTCCATATTAACTTACGGATGTCGATGAATGCTGGCTTGTATGCCAAAATTCGGCCTGTAGAAATGGATTTTTGGAGAAGGTGTCTACAGTTAACGAGGCAGGACAGAGTCCGAAATGAAGTGGTGAGACAGAGAATAGGTGTAGAGGAGACCGTCTCTGAGAGGATCGGGAAACGGTGATTGAGGTGGTATGGGCACTGCAGAAGAATGTTGGAAGAGCATTGGCCGAACAGAGTCCTGGACTGCCAGCCACCCGGAAAGTGTAGGCGAGGACGACCGAGAACCACGTGGATGGAAGGAGTCCGAGAAGAGATGGCCGGCCGAGGTCTACAGGAAGGTTACTGGAAGGATAGAGATGTGTGGAGCTCTACTCTGACCTGAAGAGGTATCCCACGTTGGAACACCAGAAATAAGAAGATAACATTTTTAAACATATTTTTTCTCCTTCATTGTTAATATTAAATAAGACAAGTTCATAAATTTGTTATTAAAAGAAATTCAAAGAGAATTTCAAATGTTTGTTTAATCAATGCTTTGTGTTATGGCATGGAGATTTTCTTCAACATAAGCTTGGATTAAATCATTATATAGATTTTAAATTAGGTCATCTCTGGAGACTACTGATTTTGGTTATTATAAATTCATACAGTAGTATATTTATGTTTCCCACCATCTTGTATAGTTTCCTTAACTTAGATCTCACTTGGGTGAAGCTGTTTCGAGGAATCCAGGTTACCTTAAGCTGAGGAAGATTAGGGCTGCTCAAAGCATTTCAAGAACCGTAAGCTATAACTTAAACACTTTGAATTACATCAGATTATTATAATTGGCAAATAATTTTATATTCCATTTTTTTTTTATTAGATCGCTGGTTCTCAAAACAGAGTCTTCTTGAGCGGAGCTAACCTTATGCTGAATATAAACGACCCCACATTCGACGATTCAAGCAACAAACTGTTTAAGAGTAAGCAGTCCTAGTTAGAACCATTAATTTTGAGCATAGTTTTAAATGATGTGAATGATATGAGTTGTATTGTCAGTGGAGAAAAATGATCAGCATAACTGTGCCTCCTTTATTTTTGTTTTATTATCAATGTGTTTTTTTTATAATTATCTAATGATTTAGTAGTACTGATTTAGTTCAGTGTATATATTTAGAAATGTATATAAAATAGTAAATGAAAATTGTAATATGCCAGGCTTATAATAAAATTGGCTTAAACGTTACTACATTTTCTCCCTTTTATCTTCCATTTCCTCTGATCATTTTCCTTCACCTCCTATTCATAGAATTTTGTTTATATTTTATAATATAACTTAATTAGTTTGTAATTTAATGAAGTGATAAAAAATATGGGCTCTTTCCTGGGCTTTTGAAGGGATTTGTACTGGTGGGGACATTGCCTTTAAACATGATTTCAACTTCTCTACTGCCTTCCCACTATCCTATTTAGACCACCCTTATTACATAGCCAGCGAAGCATTTACCACTTCATAGGTACTGGTACTTCTTAGAACAATAAGGTGGAATTGCCTCTTAAACTTTAATTTGCCTTTCTTGTAATGTTCAGCCCTTCTATGAGTTATTTTATTAAATTTATAAACCTTTTTTAAAAACAAAACAAAACAATATACTGTCTACTCCATTTAATCGACACCAGACAATTGTACCAAAACAAATTCATTTGAACTATCTTAGCCAGAGATTCTCAATCTGGGTGCTCCAATAATAATATTTAAGGTTAAAATTGTCAATTTTGTGAATAGACAATCTAAAAATTTATATTTATTAATAGCATAATTTAAACTTAAGATTAGAAATGGGCCAAATTTCATTGCTTTAAAAAAAAAAATTGTTTGAACCCTTGTCAGTCCTAAAAAAATCAATACTTTAATGACATAAGAACAAACGGTAGTAAAGTTTCTTTAGGGTAGTTTCACAGTTTGTTTTTTTAGTCCAACAAAGGTGTTATGATTTTTTTTTATTTCCTAGTCCAAGTGTTCAAATAAATTTTTTTTTTTAGCCTGACACGAGTGTCACAAAAATGTGGTTAAACAAAGCTCAATTACGCCACGCCATATAAACATTTGAGAAATTAAAAAATAGGATCCATATAATGAAATTATATGGCTATTAAAAGCTTTAAAATAAAAAAATTCGGATATGAAAAATTTAAACTTACTTTTTAGCATAGATTCTTCATATTAGTCTGTTAAATTATTTTGCGATTCCCGAGTATCTAATTTGCATAGATATATTGTTAGTTACATAAATCTTAACCAACAGCAATTCACTTTAAAATGGAAGTAATGTAACATTGCTTGCGTATTTAATATTATATTTAGAATAAAACAGGAGCGTATATTACTAAAATGATTTACTGTTATTTAGTTATAAATGATAAAACCTGGAAAAGAAAAGAAAATTATTTTTTTCACAAGAGACCAAATGTAAACTTAGTATTTAGCAAGAAATCGTTGCTAAAGAAGGTTGTTCATTGAGTAATCCTAATTAGTAATAAGAAATACTATTCTGCATTTGTCCATCATGTTATTATACTACTGCTCACTCACTTAAGCAATCTTAAATCAATTTCTGTAGATGTTACAGAATAATAACTAACATGAAAATGAACCTACTCAATATATTGTTTTCAAATCTTCATAGTACCATTTTATCCAATGTAAAAAAAAAAAAATCGTTATGTTAATATTATTGTATTATGAATCCGGTAATGTTTTTCAGGAACTTCAGTTCATCATCCCTGTAATCTTTATGATTACCAGATAAGTAGAAGTGAGAAATGACATCATTATACATAATTTATTTTTTGTATTCACTTCGACTAATTCATGACAAACTTATCAAAGGGTATTGGAAACTGCAGTCAGTAAAGTGATTGTAATGTCAATGTTCACAGTATACAACTGTAACTGCTGTGGTACCCTGAGCTCAAATAGGATCCTCTTGATTGAGCAAATCAATAAATAGAAATTGAGATTTAAATGCACTTATGAAAGCAAATTATTAAAAAATAGAAGGAGGGACAATAAGTTAGAAAAAAGATCAAATATCTTAAAAATGCAATTAGGATTTTCTCAAATTTCACTTCTGTGGTCGGATTGTTTATTTGTCTATTTGTAATTTAAATTAGACAACTGTTCATCTCACCGAGTTTGTTATTTTAATAAACCTGGGGTAGGATCTTTTTGTGCATGTTTTATTGTATAACCGGCTGAGCTGAATGGGTAATTTGCTGGAAATTATCAGATCATTCAATAGTAATTTGAATTCAAATATTTAAATAGATATTTAATTACTATCTTGATTTTTTTTTTTTTTGATTAATTATCTTAATCTAATATTTTATATATTGGAAGTATCTATTTTTTTTATTTTTAAGAACTTATTGTAAAATGGAAATGTCTTGTACACATATTCAGCATATTTTGCTGTATGAAAAATATATTAATAGAATAGGCATAATATCAAACATAGGTAAAATGTCTGATCTATCCACTCACAATACTTCCATTATCACTTTCGACTCCAAATCGAACACAAAAATTGTTTGCTTTACCTTTCCTAATATTAGTCATATTAAGATTTAATTTAATTATTTTTTAAATTTATTTTCTACTTTAAAACTTTGGCTTTGTAAACAGTTTAATCATCTTCTAAAAAAACAACCTGGAATGTTGAAGGCAAGGTTTAGTGTTTGAGTTATCGGTTTAACCAAAAAAAAAATTTATATATTCACAGATATCAGGAAAGAAAGGGTAGGATATAAAGCGAGAAACACACAAATGCGAGAGAAAGATGGCAAATTGACGGCATCAAAAGAAAAGATCCTAAGCATCTGGAAGGAACACTTCCAGCAGCTGCTTAATCAAGGGCACCCCACAAACGAAAAAGTCATGGACCACACTGAGGACATCGACCCACTTCAGGTTGAAAAACCAAATATTCTGGATGTGGAAATAGCTATTGGCAGGCTTAAAAGAGGAAAGGCTCCAGGGATGGACAACCTACCATCAGAATTGTTCAAGGATGGGGGAGAAGAACCCAGAGCCAAGCTGTTAGATCTAATCCAGAAGATATGGGAGAAGGAACGGATACCAGAATCATGGAACAAAGGGTTGATCTGTCCTATCCTTAAGAAGGGCTCCATGTATGAATGCGGCAATTACTGCGGTATCTTCTGGTTGCCTATAAAATAATTCCTAACATTCTGTTAAATCGGATATACCCATATTATGAAAACATAATAGGCGACCATCAAAGAGGATTCAGGAGAGGGAGGAGTACGCTAGATCAGGTATTCATCCTAAAACAAGTACTTGAAAAACAACAATGGGAAAAACACATTATTTGTCTACTTCAAAGCAGCCTATGACTGCATTGACAGAAACTGTCTCTGGAAGATCATGACTGAGCTGGGTGTTCCCGGGAAGTTAGTGAGGTTGACGAAGGCTTAATTTTAAATGAAAATTTAAAATTATACAAGGCTACCGCTTTACGCTAGTTTCATCAAAATCTTTAGTTTTGGCTCTACGGTTTCAAGCACAGAATGTTTTCCAACTAGTGCAAACTGGGTGCTTGATTTGGTTCACAGCCATCAGGATCATGATCCCTTAAAAAAAAAAAAGCTATAAAATTGGTCCACTATTCAAGAGATGGTGGTGGCACAGTCAGACTAATGGCATGAAAATACGTTTTTTAGAGTCATTGGGCTCTGAAACACAGAACTGTTGAAAACTGTCCATATAAAATTTGACTCTATTATAGTCTTTTCTTACCTGTGAGTGATAGGAAAGTAAAAAATTAACCCTACTTTTACTGTTGGCACATGCAGCTGTCTCAGTAATTGCCCACCATTTCTACCTCTTGCATGAACAACAAAGATCTTAAGTTTCTAATATTCCTAAATTCTTTGGCCTTTCATGTAGGGCACATATCATTTCATGCACACAAAAATTACAAATTTTGGTCATCATCAATATCTATATATTACTTATACATACATATATACAGCTTTGCAATATTAGCTTTGGAATTCTTATAAATTAGGAGTCTCTGTGGTCACTCTTAATGAAAGAGTTTACTCATCATTCTTTCAAACATAGATAGATAGATACTATCCATATCAAACATACTAAATTCTAGTAGAATATAAATTTTCTCGTTGAGAGTTCAAAGTTCACCAGTGCACGTGACCATTGGTTTCAATATGGTTTGTTCAGCAGTTAGAGAAAATTTTGTGGTATAAATTTCGAACTCTTAAATGTTTACTGTTATGGTTGACTTGAACTATTTAGTATGAAGAAGCTATTTTGATGATTACTGTTGAATATAATCTGTAATTGTTTATGAAATCGGAAAGTTCTCACCTTTTTGAATCAGTATTACTGATGAGGTGATATTTTCAGTAAACATTTAACACATAAGTGCTCTAACTTTAATTATCATTCTTGAAGGCTTTATTCCTTAAAATATTGTTCATAATTAAAAAAAAGATCAAATTTTTAATATAAACTGTTAATTTACAATGAAATTTGAATTCATAATTTTATAAAATTAAATAATTTCTCATAAAAACTGGGAATTTTATTGTTCATTATAATGATTATTTAATTATTAATTATTTCTTGAAGCAAAAATTTAGTTAAGTTTAGAATTAAGCCAATTCGATAAATTCCTTAGAGTGGTACTTAATACAGTGTTTGATAGAAACATTTTAATTTATTTAATATTTAATTCTTTCAGCTGAAGAAGGAGGAGGTGGAGACATTTTGGACTTCGTTGAAACTAAAACTACAACATCATCTTCAGGTGTCAATACCGCAGCAAATACTACAGCAGCCAGGTTGATGTCATCAGCAAATAAAAAATAATGTTGTTCTGATACATTAATAAATCAAGACTGCTATTTTTTTTAGATAAATTTTTTCTGTAAAAATGTGTTGTTTATGTAAAATTTTCTTGTTTTTTATGTTATATTTTAGCAAATCCTCCTTTAAAAGGATATTGTAAATAAGTAATACCTTATTGTTTTGTTAAATAAAATGTTCTAACATCATTGGTTGTTTATAAACTCCTCTTATTTATTTAAATAAATGGGTAATTATTTTGCTAAATTATTATTATTTTTTTAGAGGGAATAATATTTCATTCATAACATGTTTATATTTTAACCTACATACACTACTCCCCACAGTTGGGCAAACTTTAATCAATTTTTAGTGTCAAAAGCTATATTACTTTTTTTCTTTAAATTTCATAAAAATAAATAAATATATGATTGAGACAGGTTAGAGTATTAAAGAAAACATATATATTACCATATGCAGTTTTGTTTTAGAGGAAGCATTACAGTAAATGGATTTTTCTTGCCAAAATAATTGAAATGTTTATTTAATGCCAAATTAATAATGAAACATTTCTACAATATAATGAATAAATAAAGTTCTTTAATAAATTAAATGTTTAAACCTACTGGTGGTGGTTGGAACTAGTTACCTAAGGGTAGGGGGAAATAGTGATAAATCACCCTTTGTTCCTTTTTACAATTCCTGACAGTTTGAGGTTGCCACCAAGTATCACCCAGAATGAGAGGGTCAAGATCCATTTCTCAGGGTCACCTAGAAATCAATATTTACTGGTTCAGATGTGAATTAAACCCTCCAATTAGGGCAGTTGAGCATTTTCTGTGAACATGTGTAAGGCAGTCATAGAACCATAGTTGGGTGGCTTCAACAAAAGGTAGAGATATGAGTATATAAAAAGTTTAGAAGAAAGAGCGAGATTTAAAAAGTTATTTCTTGACCCAATTTTTCAAGAAACATGGAGCTACCAACAGCTATTTATTTAGATTCAAATTAAATGACAACAAAATTTAACCAGTGTACAAACAAACATCCTTTATATAACTACTAGACTGAACAAATACAGACATAAACTCTCTCTCAGTCGTTCAGCGGAAGCCAATGGTTTCATGATTGATTTCTTTGAAATAAATAATTAAACAACTTATAATTGATTTATTATGATGATTTATTTGGCTTTAATTTCCTGTAATTTATTTCTTTTAAATATTTATAATATATTCTTATTGCAAATATTCACCTATATTAATTATTTATTCATTTCTTTCTATTTATTCTTCTTTAATCATTTGTGTATTATATTTTTCTTCTTTCTTAATCTAAAATATAAAACCGTGTGTGAGTTAAGTTACTAGTTTATACATGAATTAATTCATTGATATTTACTTATACTTATCAATGCACTACCTATCATGCGTATTATGTTCAATACAAATCATGTCTCAAGATGGTAAGTGAAGAAATATATTAACAAAGAACTCCTTTAGTGTAATAGGATTAAATAGAAAAAAAGTTATTGTTTTGTTCTTATATGGATCATAAAATAGACTGATTCTCAAAATAATTAATTGAAATATATAAAATTAAGCTGGTCAAAAAATAAAATATGGCCATTCATGAATTGTGAAGCTTCAACTGATTCTTTTAGCATATTATATATTACATACATTATTAGGAAACATGGATTAAAAGAAAATCTTTTGAATTGCTACCAAACAAATAGGATGCCACATTAAAATCAACTCTATATGAATATTTTCTCGCCTTCAGTCTTTAATATTTTGTGCAATAAAGAAGCTTTAAATATTCCTTACTTTCTTAAATATAAAATACTGATAGATTAACAATATTTACCTGTCCATAACCATATATATAGCAGTTCCATTAAGAGAAAGTCCTTTTACAATATCATTAATTAATTTCCTTTTATAACAAATCTTAATGGATATTTTTGAACTAGCTGTGATAATTATTAGTTGTAAAGAGAAGTAGTAATTGATCCAACTGATTTCATTAGAGATAACTATGCAACACCACGTTTCATCTAAATCTAAAAATAAATTAAGATCCATCAAATTTTTATTTTAAATTCTATTTGAAATGTATAGTTTAGTTAAGACATTCAGGCTCCTTAATTCTCTGATATATACTGATTAATAGTATTTATTTTATTTTGAATGTATCTGAATAAGAATAGAAGAAACCCAACTGCTCTTTATCATGTGAATCTACACCCTTACAAACCTATCAGCATTTTATATTGTTTTTCAATCATTTACCATAATCCTCTGAGGATTCTAAAAAGAAAATTGACTCAGGATATTTCTTCACAGAACAATCATCGGATAACTGTTAATGACTTTTCTCTTTATAAAACATTATAATACCATTTATTACAACTTTAACTCATTATAACAGCGTTAATTTTAAATTGGAAAAATAATCTCCAGGATAATTTAAATAAGGTAAATTGTCTGATTAAGATAATGTTCTGATCAAATAGGTTGACAAAGATTTTTTTTTTTATCCATCACTTTTATTTACTCAGTCTTAATTTTCAATCATCATGATATGGTATGGCAATTATGACAGAAATATAATACTAAATCTAATCTTACCTTAAGAACTTTTTCCAAGGCTGTATTAATACAGATAAACATCTTCTATTATATTTGATAGGTTATTTATCTAAATTTTTAAATTATATTTAAATAAATCACTTTTAAATATATAAAGGAATGAAATGTCACACAAACAGAAATATTTAAAAGAAATCAAAGCATAACTGTTGATGAATAAAAAAGAAAAGAAAAACCATTAAAACATCAAACAAGGAAATCAGGGCTGCCAATTGAATTTCTTTAAATTTTATATCAATGTCCACTATTTTATATATATATATATATATATATATATATATATATATATATATATATATATATATATATAAAATATACATATATTTTTTATTTATTTGTTTTCATAATTTAATGTCAAGGACAATCAATGACTACAAAATTTATTTTCTCTATGAGTGATATGGAATTTTTTTAAAAATTAGTTTTAAATAAACTAATATCCATAATGAAAATTAGCTAACAAATAGTAATTAGATAATATTTTAATTAAAAAGGAATTAATAGAACATATCATGAAAATAACAAACATAAATTTAAAAAAAAAATAAAGCAAAGATTAAGAGAAACGATTAAGTTGATATTAAATTAAAGATAACTAATAATAAAATAAAAACAGGAAAGTATAAATCACCACAAAAAGGATGGTAGGAGTCAAAGCTTTGGTATTGTTAGAAATTTTGTTTTTATTCTTCTTATTATTTTTAATTATAATTAAAATAATTATTTCTACGGGCTACCAATTTTGTTTCTTGTTTTTCAGCAGGCTTTATTTGCAAGTCTATTAATTTTCCAAATTGGAGCAAATACTGCTTGTATTTATTGAAAAAAATGTTATCTAGATTTACTAGCAGATTCAAGGGGAGGGTGCTTTTGGGCTGAAACTTCCAAAATAGAAAATTATCACTTATTTTTCATTGGTCCATATTGGTCTCTATGAGTGATCTGAACTCTAAACACTTAAACAATCACAAATTTTTCTCTTTTTAAATTATAACGGATCTAATCCAGCTACTAAATTTAAGCACATGTCAAGGAAAAAATATATAAATGTTATCCTTAAAAGTATTCTTGTTTCTGTAATTAATATAATTAAAATAAGATGTGGACCACTTCTAAAATTAAATCCTGAATCTGATAATGTCTGGAGCCAGCCAAGTGTCCCCAAAATTTATTATTTGAGTTATACAACCATATTGTATGAAGGCTATAAAAAATAAAAATAATAGAGATGGAAGCAATATAATTGTTGTTATTCATAAAATATAATTTATTTTTAAGGGCACAGAAGTGAAAAATCAATAATCCATTCTGACAACCAAAACTTTATTGATATATAGATTTATTTTGTACAGAAAACAGTGTCCCTAAGACATTCAACCATAAGTAAAAATATGAACTTTTAATTTTTGTTCTATAATTTATTGATCTTTTTCAATTGAAAATAAACTTTTGTTGGCCTTAAGACTTGTCAAAGCAAGTCCTATTTTGCAGATTCAGGTTATTCATCTTATTTCACTGAGCAAGTTTCCAAGCTATTTCTTTACAATATTCAATGTTGAGTATTCCTGGAGTGATCGATGAAGATAGCAAAAGTATGAGGTAGAGGATACTTGGAGTTGAGGAAAATGAATATCGACTTTATTTATTCCTAAAAAAATATTTAATTGATGAGTGAATCCTGAGAAGTTATGAATGCTATAGTAAACGGCATGAAAAAAAATACCATAAAATCAAATCTAAAAATTTATATTTTTTGAAATCAAAACCAATTCTTATTTAAGAGTTCTGAAGGATACTGGCAAATGAATCTGAATTGATTTTTCATGATAAAAATTTTCTTGGCCTACTTAACTGAAATCCTCATTTTTTATATATCTTTTTTGTAATTTATTATAATTTCAATTCGTACAAAAAAAAAAAAAAAAAAAAAAAAAAAAATGATATATTTTAACCAAGAAATCTGTGCAGAGAAAAGGCAGATCATATTATCTAAAATTTTTTTTTTCTCGCTTCCTAGAGCACCCTGGCAAAAACCCACAGATACGGGTCAAATAACATTCGAGCTAGTATCACCAAAAATGTTTCGTTGAAATTGGTGACCCCATGTCCGTAACATCCCCTTGTCTGTCAAGTTGCTAGCAATGGTAACTTTTTATTTAATTTCTTTTAAATTATGATTTTAATCTTTATGTATCCATAAAAGAAAATTTTTGGCAATGCATTAATTAAGTAAAACAGACTAGCATTTCTTCTAAACAAATCCATTTAAATTAAGTAATAATGAAATACATCTCTAGATTGAATTCAATAAAATTATTAAGTGAGCACTAAAAGTAATTGAATGCAGGTTTAGCAGCCCTAATTTACTTATTATCTTGTAAATGAACAAATGATAGGCAAAACTCTGCTGTGGAACAAAATATTCCTTAATTTAGCAGTTTGAAGCTCAATATTAATCAATACTTTAACCAAAATAGTATATTTTTAAGTACTACATTGAACAAGATTAATGGAAAAGAACAAATAATAAACTGGGATAATGCTATTTACAAATATTAAATTTAAACAAACTTAAGACAACAATTTATAAATATATTAAAAAAATCAATTACACAAAAGATACAGCTTAAAATAACCATCTATTTATGTACAAAATTATGGCAACATGTTTTTTTCAGTTAGTCTATTATACGATATAAATATTAACTTATACATCTACATAATTATTTGTAAACATTTTAATGATTCAATAGTTACAATCAATGAATATTTTGTAAAATCTCCAATCATAGAATCTGATAAATTCTCACTCAAACAATAGGTAGCATTTCCTAGTCTATTTAATCATTTTTCAAATCAAACAATATGCTTCATAAATTAAATGCAATTGCAATCCTTTCCCAACCAAATTAATTTTTTTCCCTTAGCTTTACTTAATTATAGTTTGAATTTAACATGTATTAAAAATTTAACAAAAAAAATCATTGAAATTTTAACCTTCCTACGGATGTAACATTCATCGTTTTTTCTTTTTACCCTCGTTAGTAATACGTATTGATGATGAATTAGTCATATAATTTTAAAATGGAAGAGGCAATAGCATATTAAAAAAAAAAAAAAATGCAAACGATTAAGTTAAAAAAAGATTGGAAAAGTAAAAATTTTGGAAAGTATACTTCCAAATAAGTTCTTGCTTATTAGGAAGGGAAACAATTTAATTTGGAAAAGAGATGCAATGGAAAGAGACTAGATTTGTTATAGTACAATAGACAAGGAAATGCAATACATGTGACATGGTTAAGAATCATTAAACATATAATTTTCTCTTTTTAACAGTGAGTGGGAGTTTACGATTCTAATCTTATTTTTTTCCTTTAATTCTTTTAGTTTAAATTTACATGCTTACATGATATAACAAGCATAAAAACGTCTCTTTCTATTCTATTTACAATTTTTTTAGTATTTCTTCCTCATTGGCTTAAGGTTTCTTACACATTTTGTGCAGGAATTTTAATTCAGCTTTGTCATAAATGAAATAACACAATATTACACCATAAGACTAGACTAACATTCTTTTCATTTTGAAAAAGATACTTAGGAATTAACAAAAAAAGGAACTTCAGCTTCTTTTTTTTTTTTTTTTTAAAAGAAAAGTAGCCAACTTCAAACACTCCTCAAATACAAAATTAATCAAGGTGGGAAATGTATTATTACGTGGAAGACAATAAAAATTTTATAACTAATGTAATTTCATAAGCAATAATTTTGTGAAGGGAGGAATTTTGAGCAATAAAGTTATATTTATTATATGACAATAAAAGTGCTCTAATTTACATTTTATCTACAATTAATTACTGATTGCAAATGCCATATATTCAGTGAGTATACTAGTCATTGGAAGTTTTGATTAAAAACTTGTTTACAAAAATCAAAATAATTATGACGTGCCTTAGTTACAGTAATGCCCCAATAATGCAAACTAAATATGACAATTTTAACCTGATTTTTTAATTGATTTAAAAGTCCTAGTTTCTTAATAACATAACTAGAAGTATAAAAATTTGTATAAAGTGCATGTTGAGTTACATACAGTTTTTTTCTTTCCAAAAAGTTTTATTGAAATCTATTACGATATGAATTTTTTTTTTTTACTTTTCTAGCCATATAAAAAAGATGAGATGGGTATCTTCCATTGGCAGAACTATATTTAGATCTGATCGTCTATTTACATGATATTAATAATATTAAAACAAAATTAATTAACAATTAACAACCGAAACACATGAAACAAAAATAAGAGATAGAGGTAGGCTAGAATTTTTAAATTTGATTCTTTAAATTAATGGAATGCAATAAAACATTGAAATATGCTTTTGAAATTCACAATTAAATCGAATGAAAAAAAAAATGTAAAAGTACGAACGTTATTAAAAAAATATCACACACTTCAAAATATCACTTCATTTCAAAGGTAATTAAGTTTTAGTTTCACTGATATTTTAATTAATATTGCGCTTAGAATAAAACATGTTTCACAGATCTAAAAAAAATTAACGAATACAAACATAATATTTTAGGACATATAAAAAAAAAATAATAATAAATAACCGTCTTTATTCATTCCTGACCATTTAAGTTATGTAACATAAAATGTCTAAAAAGCAGATAATAGATCTTTTGCACGATGAGGAGCCCTATGGTAGTTCAAATTTAAAATAAAATTATGAATATTCAAACAATTTTATTTAAATTTTTCTAATAAAATTATTTTACCGAGTTGCTATAATTTAAATGAGTTACAGCACCCATTGATTGTTGAAATAATGATAAGTGGTAATTAAAAAAAAAAAAACCACATGGACGGTTAATGCTGAACTCTAAGTTGTGAGGAAACACTAACTGTCAAAGTCAAAAATATGAGTAATCTATTTATATATCAATTTACCGACAGAAGATTGTGAGCCATTTCTAAAAAAATATCACATGTGGTTAAATTTGATCATTTTTCATGTGATCAATGACACAGCAATCCTAACTTCACTTACACTGGAATGCTTATGATATTGCCTACAAATTAGAAATAAAATATAATAAAGTTTGTACAGTTTATAATAAATTACATTTTAAACATTCAATGATACTTTGTATTGTAGGCCATTGTTCTCGAAATGGTTTTCTACACATTTTAAAAATTATAATTAATTTCAAAATCGACTTTAACATTAAAATTGGCAAATGCTCAACCAACCAAATAAATACATTTATTTACACAGAGTAAGATACATATTTATACACATATATGTTTACATTTATACGCATATTCTTAGTTCATATAAAATTAAATTATAAAAATATCAATTGTAACAATTTGAGTACAAATGACAACAAATAAAAACATAATATGGCAGCATTGAACCGAATCTTCAGAGAGAATTAATAGTAGTTTAATTTTCTTTTATATATATATATATATAAAGTATATATTACTTTTTTACTAGCTCCCTACTCTTTCTATCTGTCTGTATTTCTTTCTCAGATTCGAAACAGGATCCTTGAAAAGGACTGGGTCCAGTCTTGTGTTACTTCTGAGGAGTGGCATATAACCAAAGACTGCGGCGAATGTGTTTAAACATGTCTGTCTTTGTATGAAATGATCTGGGTCATTCCACGGTGACCTAAAATTATAAGACTTTTTTAGAACTGATAATTACTTTAAGGTTAAGGCAATGAAATAAAACAAATTATGGCTTTTCAATTATTATGAAAACTGACACTTTGGGTAAACTATGATATCATGTTAAGGGCAATAAAATAGATGTAAGAAAAATAAAAAAAGAGTAGAAAGTAAAGTAATTAAAAAATATATATGAGGATGATGGAAATAAAACAACAATATAGGTAGAGAAAAATTAATAAAAAAAAAGAAAAGAATGCTATAAAATAAAAATATTATTTGAAAAAAAAAAAGGAAACAGATTAAATCATAAATATTGAACATAATGTATTCAAGAGCAAATAAATAAAAAACAGAAAAAAATAATTAAATATAATTATAAATGATCTGATCACTTCATCACTTTAACAATGATTAACATCTGAATTAATCTGAGTTGACCGTAGATTCTAATTTCAGAAGAACTTAGTCTGGGTGCGGTCAATATATAAAAAACTATATTACATGAATAAAGATGATTTTCTATTCCCATTTCTTACATTATAGTATTTTTATTGAATAAATAAATAATTAGAAAATTTCAATAAAAATACTATCATGTAATATAGTATTTCATATATTGACTGCACTCCCGACTAACTTTTTCTTATATTAATTCTAATTTTAACTTTTGTTATAATCAAAATGATAAAAGTAGTAAGAGAAGCGGAGATAAGCAGCGACCACCTTTTACTTGTGGCTGATACAAAGATCATTCCTGAGTATAAAAGGAAAATAAAAGCATTTGAAACCCTCAAGGTAAAGGCCTTGGATGACCCAGAGAAAAGAGCTCTCTTTACAGAAAGCGCTGAAAATAAATTAAGAGAAATGTCATTCAACGGAGACGTGGAAGAGATATGGAAGGCACTGAAAACATGTATTCTGGAAACAGCAAATACAGTCTGTGGGAAGAAGAGGGTGTCTGGTAAGGGAAAGTGGAAAGACTGACTATGGCGAGGGAAGAACAGAAACATGTACAACTGATCTGCAACGCTGAGACACTATAGGTAGTGAGTGAATATACCTACTTAAGGATTGTAATTAATAGCTCGGGTAAGACAGATGCCGAAATATCAAACAAAATATGTAAGGCGAATCAAGCATATTACCAGACCACTAATAGCATCATTGGCCATCGCGAAGTAGATAAGAAGATCAAAATGCATGTATATAAGTCTGTTTACCTTCCTACACTCACATATGACAGAGAACACTGGACAGGCACTCTAGTCGTATGACGGCAGCAGAAATGAGGTTCCTTGGCAGATCTGTTGGGAGAACTATTAGGGATCGCATTAGGAACAAAAGCATTAGAGAGCAGCTAGGAGTTACCGAACGTAAAACCACTCTAGAAAGACAGCAACTCCAGAGGTTTGGATATGTATGCCGCATGAACGAGGACATGAATCCTATAACGGTATTAGAGGCTCAACCCACAGGAAGGAGACCATGCGGACGCCCCAGAATTACATACCAAGAGAATATCAAAAGAATTGGAAGTAAAAGAGGCAAAACCCTCAATGAGATGAAGCGGCTAAGCAGGGACCGGGAAGAGTGGACACGCTGGATTGAGGCTCCTTGACGCTAGCTAATGGCATAAGAGGAAGACAAAGAAGAAGAAGTTTAGTCAAAACAAATTAGGTTCATAATTTGATCATATAATAATTTTAGCTAAATAAATATGAATTCACTCAATCAGATATATATTTCATTATGTCCTGTGTCCCATAAATTCTTATTGTTCTTAGTCAAAAGAACTTAACGATTTCAAAATATTTTGCATCTTACAAAATTAAGAGTAAATAGCACACAATAAAAAAAAAAAATTAGTATATCAAATGATACCTTGGGGCTCCAGTGGGTGGTGGCTGCTCCTTGTATTGTTTCCGCTGAGTCACCTTGATTGGAGGTCGACGTGTGACATGGCTGACGAGGAAGTTCATGAGTATATCTTCGCAGTTGTGGGACTGTTCTACAGTCTTCAGGAGGAGTGGGCTCAACCACTCTGTGTAGAGGTAGTTAAAGTATCGGTGGTAAAATGCAGCTCCTGTGAGCACTATTGAATAGTCATTTGTCCATTTGGATGTATAACCCCATGTTCCCTGGCACAAAAAAAAAAGAAAATCAAAAATCAAACTAAAATATTTTTTCTAAATGTTGATATTTTTTTTTAAATTTCTTTATTGAGTATTATAACAATCTGTCTGTTGGACATTGGTTATAGTGAGGTAGGATGACATTCACACCATATGTACAAAAAAATAAAATAAATAGAACAAAATAATAATCAAAAGTATATACAATAGACAATAAAATAAAATAACCTAAAAAATAAGAAAATTAAAACTAAGGGAAAAAAAAAAAATAACATGCATACCTATATACAATCAGGCGAGGGAACTCCAGGAGAACCCTGCGCTACTCTTCCAACCGCGTCACTGGTACTAAAGCCAGCGGAGATTGGTCGAGAGCACTTTAGCCACATACACACATGTCTTGAGTGAAGAATCTGGCCATTGCCAGAACTCCAATTTATATAATTACAAAAGGTCGCGAGGCCACTGCCGTTTCAACCTTCTTGGAGGATTATAGGGATGGGAGATGCTTGATAGGGATTGTGCAAGAGGATTTGGGTGGTAAGTAAGGTTCTGGTGAAATTTGGAGAATTTTTCTGGGATAAGGTCTAGGACAAATGGGATGTTAAGGTCATGATGTAGGGTTTTGTTGGATACATAGAAAGGAGCATCGACTATTGTTCGAAGGACTTTAGACTGGAAGGATTGGATGCGCTTGATGTTAGAAAATTTTGCTGATCCCCACAGTTCTAGTCCGTAAGTCCAAATAGGTTTCAGTATTGTCTTGTAGATCAGTAGCTTGTTTTCAATGGAAAGTTTAGATTTTCTGCTTAGTAGTCGGTATAGTTGGCCGTATCGTCGGTTGAGTTCTTGTCTTTTGAGTCTAGTATGCGGGTTCCAAGTTAGTCTTCGGTCTAAATGAAAGCCAAGATACCGGACTGTGTCTGAATAAGGAAGCTGGATGGAATTAAAGAGTACTGGTGGACAGGAATTGCGTCGGAGTGTAAAGTAATATGTTGGCATTTAGATTCATTAACTTTAATGCGCCAGTTATTACACCAGTGCTCAATCAAGGTGAGTGACTTTGGAGATTTAAGGATGCTATTTCGGGATCAGAGTTGGATGATAAGATTGCGGTGTCGTCAGCGAATGTTGCAAGAAAAGTATCGGGATGAACAGGGATGTCAGCAGTAAAGAGGATGTAAAGCACGGGACCCAAGACGCTGCCTTGGGGAACACCGGCTTTAACGGAGTAGATATTGGAAAATTCTGTTCCACAGCGAACTCGAAAGGAGCGGTCAGAGAGGTAGGATCGGAGGACTAGGTACAAGGACTGAGGTAAATGGATTTTAAGCTTGGAGAGCAGTCCGGAGTGCCATACCCGGTCAAATGCCTGTGCAATGTCCAGAAAGGCACCCGAACAGTATTCCTTGTTTTCTAGGGCTGAGGAAATATGATCAACAACTCGGAGTCCTTGTTGAACAGTAGAATGTTGAGAGCGAAAACCAAACTGATGGGAAGGGATATTTTGGGATTCTATAATGGGTAGGATTCGTTTCAAAAGGATCTTTTCAAAAATTTTTGAAAGGATTGGGAGTAGGCTGATTGGTCTATAGGATGTTGAGCTATTGAGAGGTTTTCCTGGTTTTGGGAAAAGGATAATAGTGGAGTGTTTCCATAACAGAGGGAAGTGGGTGGTGCGTAGGATACAATTGTAGATATATGTAAGGAATATGACTGCTTTGGATGGAAGTTGTCGAAGGATTTGAGGTGTAAGGAGATCATGTCCAGGAGCTTTACGGAGGATTAGTTTTTTTAATTGAAATTTTACTTCGGAAGGATGAATAGCTTTTGGGGGCAAGGAAAGTGGGATTGGTGATGTAAGGAGTTCTTCTACTGTTACGGTGTGGGCAGGATGGGATTCCGGATGTGAAATAAATGTATTGGATAGGTGAATGGCGAACTCCTCAGCTTTATCTTCGTCAGATGCTGCCCAGGAGCCATCACCTCGTCGGAGAGGATGGGAAATGCGGTGAGGATTTAGGATTTTTGTTGTGGTTTTCCAAAGGGAATTGTCGCGAGAAGAGAGGGAGGATAGGTAGGAGTTGAAGGATTGTGATCTGAAGGTGGCTAATTCCAGTTTTAATTGTTTGCAGTAGTAATTATAGGAGCAGCGGTCGGTAGGATGTCGGGTACGTTGCCATAATAATCTGGCACGGCGTTTGGTGCGGATTAGGTTAAGGAGGTGTTGGGGTAGAATGGTCTTTATAGGAATTCTGGAGGAGTCTTTTGGAAAGGAGGCAGTCCAGGCGGCTTGTTGGATTGTGGTAGTAAAGGAATTTACGGCACTATCAAGGTCATCGGGAGTTTTGAGGGATATGTTGAGATCAATATTATCGGAGATTATTTGGCGGAAAAGGTCCCAGTTTACTGGGCCCCTAATGAATGACGGTGGAGAAGGTTTGGGAACAGGTTCAAGTGAAACATTAAGGATTAGAGGACTATGGTCAGAGGAAAGTTCATTTAGACGTGTAATGGAACAATTGAGGGGACTTAAGCCGCTGTGGATAAAGAAATCAAGAAGATCAGGATTACGGTTGGGATCTGTGGGCCAGTAGGTAGGAGAGTTGGGGGAAAGGAGGTGAAAACGTTGGGAATTGAGTGCAGACAGCAGGGTTCGGCCACGAGAATTCGTGGTTCTGGAACCCCATTGTTGGTGCTTGGCATTTAGGTCTGCACCCAAGATGAAGTGATGTCCTAAGGAGTCGAGGAGAGAACTGAATTGGGCATTGGATATGGATCGGTTAGGAGGGCAATACGCTGATGCAAGAGTGACCGGAAAGGAGAAGGTTTTTATCACGATAGCGGTGGACTGTAGGAAATCATGTATTGGTAATGGGAGTACGTGATGGGAGAGGGATTGGTGTACAATTACAGCAGTACCGGCATGTGCTTTTCCGTCAGGGTGGTCAGTACGATATGTCAGGTATTGTGGTATATTGAAGTGCTGTTTAGTGGTTAGTCGAGTTTCAGTAATTAGTGCCACATCAATGTTCTTGTCAAGTAGTAAAGTAGATAGTTCGTCTGTATGATTTCTAACACCATTCGCATTCCAAAGGAGAATGGATATGGGTTTAGGGATGTGAGTCATTTAAGGATTTTTCAAAGGAGGGATGAGGTGAGATACGAGATTCGTGAGGAGTGATATGAGTGGAGTAACAAGGGATTTGAAATCGGTGAGGAAAGATGCTAACAAACTTGTGAGATCTGTTGCATTTGAAGGAGGAGGAATATGAGGAATTTGTTGTTGGTGGTTAGGTATATTAGGATGAAGAGGATTTTGAGGTTGGGTTTGAGGTTGTTGTTGTGGCAGGGCTTGACATTTATCGGTTAAAGTCTTACCTCTAAGTAGTTGGGAGAATGATACATCATTGTTTACAATTCTGGAAGGCTCTCTCTCTCTTCTTGTTCTTAGTGCTTCATCTTGAATCCGGTTTTTCTGGTGTCTGGTTTTGAGATTCTTGTAAATTTGGCAGCCTTTGTAGTTGGCCGGGTGTCCCTCCAAGCATAGGGCACATACTGCTGGATCTTGTATAGGTTTGGTGCACTCTACAGATTTGTGCTGTTCACCGCACTTCACGCAACGCGGCAGATGGTGGCAATATGTCTTCGTGTGGCCATAGGTCTGACAATTATGGCACTGCACGATGTCTCTCTTGGGATATGGCTTCTCAACTTTCACCATTGTGTAGTATATTCTTGTGATATCATATATTTTTTCGATACCTGGTGATGGCTCCAAGTCCACGAAAAACAATGGTAGTGGGATCCTATTTCGTAATCCTGGCTGCTCCCTGTCCTCCTTCAAAACGTTTGTTACCTGGCGTACATTGAAACCAAGCGTCGTTAGTTCTTCTTTAATAACTTCAGTGGGGGTTGAGGAATGTAAATTTCTTATCACTACTCGTAAAGCTCTTTCCTGCCTCAGCTGGTAAGTGTGAAAATTCGCATTTGTTTCTGATAAGTACTTCACTATTTTTCGGTAGGCTTCTGCAGAATCAGGTGTTATTTTGGTGTCATTGGTCCTGTTAAGGCATGAATAACTGCCAGAGCAGATTTTATTTAGTTGGGTGCAGAACATCTGGAAATTTTTTATATTTTTCACAAATATCGGAGGAGGCTTTGGTTCTCTGGGTATTGCTGCAGACTCCATTACTTCTCTGTCATTTTGAAGCACTTGGTAGGGGTTTGGAGTAAAGAAAGGTGATTCTTCAATCGTTTCTTGTGCAGACGTACCTGGTTGGTGGTTGGGGCTGGAGGTTCTGGTTCTGAAGTGTTCATTTTGGTCACTGGAGGTATTTCTCGTAGGCAGCGACGAGTCCTTTGTTTGGCTGGTGAGCTAACTCCGTCTGACCGAGACTCTTGGGCACCTTACTGGCCATCACTTGCTGATCATACCGCATATCATAAGAGAAAAAAATAAATAAAAAAAAATAAAAAAATTTTTTTTTTTTTTTTTTCTTAAAATAACAAAAAAAAAGATGCCAACAGTAAATATCAACTGCTCTGATATACACTTTAACTGTATCACGTAATAATCAGAGAGATTCGCTATAAAATTGGTAAAAACTGAGAGAGGAGTTGAGGAGACAACCTTCTCATCAGCTGATCCACTGCCTTCCAATGTTGATATTAAAGATCAAATAATGATGAGCAAACAATTACATCTAATTTTTAGTGAAATTATAAACTCATTGGATTTGGTAAGGGGATTAAAAATATGGGATATCTTACAAAGATTACTATTCATAATCTTTAAATCTCCTTAATCCAATAATATGTTTAAAAATAAATATTACCCTAAAATTTATTTCTGCCCCAAATTATAGACCAATTATAGACAAATTATAATAATTCTAAAATTTAACACACGTATTATTAAAAAAAAAAATAATAAGCATAATCCCAATACTGGCTATTAGGAAGAATATTATAAACATGTTTCTTCCCAAGAGACTTCTGAAAAGTGATATAAGAAATTAAATTTAAAAAAAGACTTGATGTTAGGTATATAGTGATTAAGGATTATTGAGATCCTGAACACTACATCACGGAAAAGGAATTTATTAGTTTATATAATACTAGTAGGCCCGTGCGAAAAATTCGCACAGCACATTGTTATCAAATGCCAAATTAATAAGAAAATGCAACTTATCAAAAGATTAAGACATCAAATGTTACTTTATCGATAAATATAATCCACAAAGCAAACAAAAATTAATTTAAATCTTCATTTTTGCTTGGAACCAACATGTATACAAATTTCAGTAAGCTGTATATTTGCTACAAATTGTCCGATTGCGATGATTTTTTTTTCCTTTTGTAGGGAATTTAGTAATCTTTTAAATAATTATGGGAATAACTAAGGGAAAAGTGTATAATTTTTCAGTTATTCGCAAATAAAGTTCATTTTCTTTCATAACTTGTTTGCATGAATTTTCTGGGTGTTTGGACTATTTTGCCAGCCTGAAGGAGAAGGAAGCCTTCGAAATTGGTGGCTCAATCTTGAGATTTAGTGAAAACTTAACGATGATATGGCTTGCCGATCAAAAACACCATCGATGAATCATATAAACTTCCCCTCTCTCGATCATAGAGACCTCAAGTCGACGAAATGACATGTATTCAATGACAGTACAAAATTGATGTAAGGTTGAGTGGATGCGAACCCTATGCCTTGCGTTATCTCGAAATTAGTACGTTTTTCGGCTTAAAAACGCAGGATCCGATAGTTCCGAAGGAACTATCCGGGTCTTGCTGTATGCATCAAAATCTTCAAGATCCAATTCGTCCCGTATCAATCTACAGACCTACCACCGTTCCAGTATCGAAGCCTATCAAAATGTTTGTATCGACTTTATTTTTTTTAGAAAGAAAAACAAAAGTGGAAAATACGATTCGATAACCCCCCGTGAGATTCTGAATCCAACGTACCCATTCCATTTTTTTGAGCATAACAGGAGCTTATATTTGGTACAAAACCGATTTCGAGCCTTACTCTAATAATATATGTACGGATATTTCAAACTGAATAGAAACAAACAATTACATCTGCAACAAACCTTTGCATCATCCCAATAGTGTGACCTTGCAGGGTATCCAACTATTCGGTCAGGAAAGTGTTGCCAGACGGAGAAAGCAAAGTCTACTTCATCAGTAGTTAGGGTAGTATCCTCGTCTAGGCTTAGCAAGGCTTCGGTCTTCACCAGAGGCTGAGGAGAGAACCTTTGAGAGGCACCTGGTTGGTGGAGTATGTAAAGGGGTGGACCACCTGGCGGCCAACGGTTACGGCTCGGGGAGCTTTTTCGCTCGTCCAGAGAACAACTATCTGTTGACAAAAAAAAAAAAAAAAAAAAAATCAATTTATGTAAAAGTAAATATTAGATTTAATAATTGTATTTGATGATATATTCTACAAATATGTTCAGCTCATTAATTTTTTGTAGTTAATGTAAAGTTAGCTTAATGTAAATGTTGAAATAATGAAGTAAATTTAGAAATGATTTTATAAAATAAAAAGATTTACTTACAGCAGCGGCAAACTTGCTCTTAGCAACAGCTCGAACAAGCTTATAAAGGGAAGAGGTTGGAGTTAAATTTCCACCAAGTTGGCAATAGATGAGAGCAGTGAAATTTCTTCCAGGATCTGAACCTGCCCAAGGAAACGACCCAGTATACTTTGGAAGCGAGACCAAACCACCGGGCGCGGTGTTCCACACTCTACCATCCCTAACTGCTTCTCCTGGTACCCTCTCACGAATTATCTAAAAATATCAGGCCATATTAATTAATATTAAATATATATACATAATAATTTGGTGAAGATTTACACAAAACAATTAAGTTAAACATATTATTAAAGATACAAGCAATTAAAGGCACTAATGTAAGTAAAATAACAATTCAGGAAACTTAAATTTAATATTGCTAATAAAAACAAAAACCAGTACCACTACAACCAATAGAGGGTCTTGGGTTCGATATTTTGTTTTAATTAATTATTTACATAAGAATAACCACTTTATAGAGGCTGGATGTGCCCCAAGATGATCAGATCTTAGGATCAATCCATAGTTGATGTAACGCTTATTTACTAAATAGTTTGATTTTTTCTATTGTAATACACATTTACAATTTACTAGTACACTCAACAAAAGACCAAATAGTTATAATAAGTGTAGCAGCACTACTACCTCAGGCCTAATTAATAACTGCATCAATGATAATATATCACTATGTTATATAAAAATGTAATTTAAAAAAGAGAGAGGTTGCTCTAGGTTGTAGAGAGTTATATTAACTAAATGATTGTACCACTTGTAACATCACCCATATATTAAAACAATGATAATATAATATAATAGAATATTCCTTTGTAAGGCCAAGCTCTAACACATGTAAGTGTAGTTAAGAATTCTTGTGCAATCATATTAATTTTGTTAAAATAAATAGGTTATATATGTTTTCGTCCCAAACAGATAATTACAAGAAATATAGTTCTGATAAAATAATAAATAATTTATGAAGGAGATATTTATCATATCTTAGTCAATTCTCCCTTTACAAATTATTACATTAAGAAAATGTATTGTTAATTTAATACATTATAACTAATATATAACTAATGTACTATGTACTATAATCACATGTATAACTAATATATGAAGTTGTATAAATGATAATCTACGGCTCTGGCTCTTTGTTTGGTAGTTCTAAGAATTTAGCTATTACATCAATAGCAAATTAGATGTTATATACAACAAAGGGTAAGGTTTTGTGGCAGGTGTATTATCATATCATGTAATGGATATTCCTAGTATGAAGTTGGTAAAGCATTAATACACAACTCATAATGTAAACGTTGAATAATGTAAGTTTTACACTAATAAGACAAAATAATTGTTACATATTCAATGGTCTGTTTAGCATGAAACAAGGGTTTCCCCTTATCATGACAGATGATGTCTCTCATAATTAACATATATACTAATAAATAATCATTATTTGATATAAGATATACTATAAATTTATTTAAATGTTGGATTAATTTATTTATTTTTAATTGATTTATAAATATATCACTTACCTCTAAAGTTGTGAACACAATCTTCTCTATAGAAGAAAAGTATTTGTCCCACAAAATTTGAGTTTGTTGACGGAGACTAAACAATTTAGTTGCTGGAATTGATCTGACTGTCTCTGGAACCTAACAGAAATTATTTTTTTTTAAAATAAAAGTTAAAGCCATACTTAAATAAAAATAAAGCAAATTATAAACTTTAAATTCTTAAAATATAATATAAATAATGAGAATAATAAAAAGTAAAAATAACTATTTTTACAGAAATAAAGAAAGTAAATTTTATTTTGGGACATTTAGTCCACTCAGAATAACTACAATGAACAGAGAATTAACAATTAAAAATAAATTAATTTACAAAGGTGTCCAATCTTAATATTAAAATAAAGAAGCATGTAAATTTTTCATAATAATAAAAATTCTTAGTATTAAAAATAAAGACATTGTAGTAAACATATGATCTTGAAGTAGACATATGAATTTAAAGATGATTACATACACGTTTTTGTACAAATAAGCAATATGACACATACATAGATAACTATTTTTATGGGTAGTAAATATTCAAGTTTTTATTGGTACAAATGTTTCAACCCAAACATGTGGGTCATCATCAGGGCATATTTCGAGCACTGAAGGTATTCAGAGGAATACCAGCAAACGTCGCCACCAATAAAAATTTTATAATGACTGCGACCTGAATATTTATCACCTACGATATGTAGAACAGTCGATAAACTTTCTTCAATAACTATTTTTAGAAATAATATAAACTGAATCTTTAAAAAAATACACAAGTATTTGCTAAACACATTTTAGCATGGCTAAAAGGCTTTACTTTGATGTTCAATTTAAAAACTCAGAACTTCATTTGTAATGTATTGCTATAGGAAACTTGTGTAAAACCGATCCAAAAGATTCTATGGAAAATAGTTTTTGAGTGTTTTCTTCTCAAAACAGACTACTGATCTACAGGCTCTGAAATATTATAGAAATTTCATCAATTCATTGCGATTCAAAATTAAAATTTAGAGATTCTATTCAAAAGACTTTTATTAATTAATTAGTAAGTAGACAATTTAGAAAAACAAAACAAACATTTGCATTTAATTATAAACCTTTTAGTTAATCAAAAGTGTAATGGTTCTATTACTCTGGAAGCTAATTGTGGAAGTAACAATGGCATAATGAATAATAACAACAATAGGAGATGAAGTTAGCATCAGGTATAAGACAGGGACAGGCTCTTTGTCTGGAGGGGTGCTTAGGAGTTGGCGTGTGATAAACTTGAAGCGTATTACACAATCTGCTTCCATCATCCCTTTTACAAATAGAATAATTTTGCAAAGTAAAGAATAATACATTTTATGGATGGATACAGGAAATGTTAAAAATCTACTATAGAAACCGAAACTTAAAAAGAAAATTTGGAAAAAACAATAATATTTTGTTAAATAGCACAAAAACAAGAGTCATACCCTGCAGTATAATTAAGTTCAAATATAACTAGATTCAAAATTACAAAATGCAAATTGACCTTTTTGGGTTTATTGTAATCTGTTAGGAAAAATAGTAGAAAGATAAATAAGAATAATATTAGTCCACTTTAGTGATTAACCAAAGAAAAATCTTTTCTTCATTATGTTAAAATTAAAAAAAGAAGAATAATACATTAAAACTAAGTAAAGTTGATCATGTATCCTCTAGGTAATTTAATATTTCCTGACATATAATTCACTCAGTGGAAAAAGGAGAACAACGGAGAAAATGAAATATTTTTGAGAAATAAAAAATAGAAGAAGGGAAAGGATTTAAAAGTTCATTAAGAGAGACTACTGCAAAAAAAAAAACGTCTGCCAAGTAAGTTCAGTATAGCTTCCTCACCGTTTTTATTGTCTAAAATATTACAAGGTATACAATTTTTCGTATGAGAATAAAATGTCTGGGAAAAGCCGATTCGGAAATATAGTTACCCTTCGACCTTCGCTAGTTTGATATCCACGTATTTCTTTTATCAGCTAATATTAAAATGCGGAAGACTGCCGTATTTTAAGATTCCATATTTGATTATCCTTAATTAAAAAAAAAAAAAAAAAGCATACTGAAATTGAAAATTGTAATTGTGAAAATTGATTGTTTTACAAGAGTGCATACAAACTCATTATTTCATTATGCTTTACTAGTATAATTTCATTGTCATCTGTTATTTTCCATAGTAGCAGACAACTTATATCAGTTGCAGACTACAAAATGTCATCGTTAACACAAATAGGATAACAGTTAAAAAATTTTACATACGACCTTTTGCACTAATAGTAGTGATATTTACTTAATAGGTGCGTCTTCACTCATAAATTGTATGGAACTAGGAAATCCATAGGAAAAATTCAACTTGTTGTTTGTTCGGAGTTAACGAGACCAATACTTTCCTTCAGTCAGAACAAAACGCTTAAAGCTAGAAAATATAAAAATATGGGTGAAGTTCACATAACTGCGATATTTAAGGAGGAAATCGAGACCAAGATAAACTAGTTGAACTTCAATGGAAATAAACCAGAGTATAAATTAGATTAAATGTATCGAAAATTACACGAAATCTAAGTAACGGCAGTAAGTGTCAGGCCAGAAACGTTTGGAATCGACCAAACAATACAGTATCTATTAATTTTTTTAATAAAACCTAAAATTTTATAACCCCATAACAATATAGTAATAACCTAATTCCCACTCCATATGATCAGTGCCTTCAACGTTTCGCAGCCATTATATTGTTAACAATTGTTTATATTAATTTTATTCATTAAATGGAATTCAATGAAATTGATCCTAAGGTATTTCTATACTGTTCCCCAAGTTTGGATCAAATCGAATACGCCGTTTTCAAACTATAGGCTTATCAACTAACACATTTCCTGATTTGAAAGCGGAAGTATTTTTTTTTTAGTAGTAGATATAATTTAATAAAATTGATGCCAATTTCATTTTACGATTACCAGTCCCTAAATTCCCTCTAAATTTAAGCCAAATCGAACTTGCGGTTTTACAAATATAGACGTATCAAAGAAAACATCTTTGCGCATATATAAGAGAAAGAAACGGACAGAATTCAATAAAATTGACCCTACATTATTTTTTTTACAAATACATACCTTTCATCTAATTTTGAGCCAAATCGAAAGAACCACTTCTGAAATATTGGCGTTTGCGTATATATATAATATATATATATATATATATATATATATATATATATATATATATATATATATATATATACAAAAATGCGTTTGCGCGTGCGTAAGTGGAAGTGCTGGTTAGAATTTAATGAAATTGATATGGGACAATCTAGACACCAACAAGCTAAATTCCTGAAAATTGGATGAACGATAGTAGGTGATATGCCCGTTACATCGATTTGAATTCAGATAGACAGACAGACACCGAACCAAATTTGATCTTTGATGCCTGAAACGTAAAACAGGAGTGGAAATTTTCGACCCTGAGCAAAATTTTTTTTTTTTATTTTGTTTTATTATTTATTTTTATTATTAACCTCTCCCATTTTTTTTTTGCTAAAATCGAATTATCGGATGTGCTGCCAAACACACGAAGTTAAATCCAAATTTCTCTTTACTTGTTGACTTGTCTTTGTATGTCTACAATAAATTGTTTTTGACATTACAATTAGAATAAAAAATACATTTTCTAGGGTTTCCTGAAATTCTGTAAATGATGATTGGGAGTCATTTCGGAAATAAACGACTCATATTATCTCTCGATGTTTTTTTGTCGAAACGTCATACATACGTTAATTGATTGAGGCATCATTTTGAATATTATGTTCTCCTTCAGACCCTGTTTATCCCAATAAACAGTCACTTCTTCCGAAATTTCAGGAAAAAAGTATGATGAAAAAGAAACATTACTTGCGCATAGATAAAAAAAAAAAAAATTTATGGAAAATGAAATTAATTCCTCCATTTTATTATACATTGCATTAACTCATTCTATATTATTTTGTTATTTGTCAATGACTAGTATACTATGAGAATATTTTAAACTACAATAAATGTCATATAAAAAAAAAAATAATGGAATTTTCTTACATTAGCAATTTTTACAGAAATGTTAGATAATTCCATATGAAAATCTAGTTAACAAGTTGGCAAAGAGGGCGAGCTGGGCAGAGAAGACAAGCCGACCATAAAACCAAAAAGTTAGCGGGAGGCTAAAAGACCTGACTTAGTGCAGTTCGGAGCCGACTTAGGGAGGATAAGAGAGGCCGGGCTAAGTTGGTTGCCAACTGTGACGCCCAAGTTTACCCCAGATCAACATTATCAGTTCCGACCTGGCTCCAATCACCGGCTACAGCTGAATAGCCGCCGTTCTCCCAACTCAAATTGTTCAATTAGCAATTTCACTCCAACCATCCGACTCCATTGACAGTTAAAAGGAACAATAATACCTCAATGACAATAGGAATTCACTCCCTACCCTCCAGGCAGCTCTATTTTCGTACCATGGCTGAAAGGTTTTTTTTCCATTATATTCCCCTCGATAGGAACATTATTCAAGAATAAGAAATGATTAAGGATTTCTAAAGAAGGAATACTTCAAGGAAATGAGATTCGACTGGTCTAAAACAGATGCCTCCTAATAATTAAGATAGATTTTCAATAAAGAATCTAAAAATAAAAAAAAAACAATAAATTAAATATTATATCTTGTTTGAAGAAAAGCATTGTTCTCTTCCTAGAATGGACCTCTTTGAAAGAAATACTCTTTCCCTTTTTTTTATTCTTTTCTTCGTTTGGCACTGCAAACCATGTAAATCTTTGGACTCGCGACGTGACCCTAACAAACGTCGTTTGTGGAACATAGATAATGAGGAGGAGATCACCTAACATTTCAGTGACTTACTCGGTTATAGAACAGGAACAAATCAATCTAGATCCACGGGTTATGGCAGTTCAGGGTCAGCGTGTACTAGTCTTTTCTTGAAACAGACTATCCACGGACCGAAAAACCGAGTAGTTGCTGGTATTCTGAAAAAAAAAAACAATCGCATTTCTCGATTAAGGTCAACGGGATAGGCGTCATCACTCTTCAGTTCGGACCGGAGTCGCCTTCAGTAGTCTGAGGAGTCTCGCATAACAGATGCGGAAGTAATCATAGAGTTACGGAATGGACTTAATCCGTAACAACTATTAATATTAACTTTATTTTATTTAATCATTTATTGACCTTTCTCATAGCATAACACAAAGCCCTAGATAGCCAGGTCAAGCTATCTCTGATAGCTTAGAAATAGTTATTTAGAATGTACTGACTGGGCAGAAGACACTTATCAAGACTTAGGGAACAATGACCTATTTCAGCTAAAGGGTACTTTCTCACAGAGTTCATATAGATTCTAAAAGAAAGGATATCAATTCTTAATACTTGATAACTTCATTCACACGCTTCCTAGACCGTCCAAAATTGATTCATCCCTCCTACTATTCCTGAGTATATAACCCCCATCCTTCTAAGACCAAATCACTCATGCAGTTGCATTCTTGAGTCAGACTCTTCACTGTAGGAGACCAGGAGTGAACTGATGCAGTCAACTCATATATCCATAGTTTATTATTCTGTATTTTAGATGTCATTTGTAACATTATGAATAAAACCATTATTTATAAAGTCTCCACTGCCTCCGATTCGTTAACTGTAGGCAGAATCATATGCTTACTAGCTTTCCCGACGGTTTTCATCCATCGAAGTAACCTATCAAGTAACCCATCCTTACCACCCTCGGTCAGAGATGGACAAATGCTACTCGGAGTACTGAGTACTGACTAATGAGTACCGAGTGTAATACTCAAATACTGGATTTTTATGAGTACCAAAGAATTTAATTACTGCTTCAGCTGATGTCAAAAGATTAACTGAAGTAGTGATTGAATTCCCAATAGCGGTACAATTTGAGTAAAATACTTGGTGCTCGGTACTGAGAGTAGCATTTGCATATCTGCCATCGGTATTGCTTATCCTTGAATACTTTGTTTTGTAATACTTAGGGCAATATACTACTTTATCAGAAATTAAAAAAAAAAAAGTAGCATAAAACTATATATATGGATGTAATATTTTTGAAATTATTAAAACTCATTCAGAATAGAAAATAAATATAAAAAATAGAAAATAAACTTTATTCAGGAACAAAGTCTCCTAATAATGACAATAATGAAAACATATATAAAAGCAAAAATACATATCTGGCTAAAAATGAACTTAATAAAGATTCTAAAAATATATACAATAATTTAAATAA